ATCAGCAGAGCTTTGCTGGGAAACCTCATCTGTAATCTCATGAGTTCTCAGGGAAAGGCATTTTCCTCCCCTGAGATGATGTGCATGGTCACATGTCCTAGTCACATGTGCCAGAGTTCCAGGAAGTAAAGGGAGATCTGTCAACCTGGTCCTAAAATGGTTAAAGTGCATGGCCACTGTGCAAAGACTGGGTAGGAAAATAAAAACAAGGTATGCAAAGAATACAAAGCCTGCAATTATTTAGAAGAATGTGTTTGTAGATTGTCATTACTGAACATTTCTAAAGGTGCCTTTGTTGTTATTTTGAAGATATGGGTAAAGTTCCTATTTAAGCAGCTCTTCTCTAAGGAGAACACATTTAATTTTCGTAGTTGGTCTTGATAACTTGGGCCCTCCACAACCCCTTATTAATTTAGTTGCCCTTCTCTGAACTTTCTCCAGCACAAGGATTGGTGAGCAAAACAAAACTGCATGCTCAAGATGCGGCCTTACCAGTGTTTTATAAAGCGGTAGAATTATATTTCTATCTTTTGAATAAATCTCAATCATGTTAGTATTTTATTCACTTTGTTAGCTACAGCTTGACATTGTCTGCTGTGCCTGTGATCTAGAAGTACCCCTAGATCTTTCTCCATCTTTGATTTCCCCAGTGAAACCGCTCCCAAAGTGTGGTCTGCATGCATGTTCTTAGCTCCCAAGTGCATGACTTTACATTTTTCTAGATTGAAACTCATCTGCCACGTTGCTATCCACTCCTCAATTATAGTGAGGTCTTGCAGTGATTCTATGTCTTGTTGCAAACCCATTGCCCTAAATAGCTTTGTATCGTCAGCAATCACTGAGAGTGAGCTATTCTATTCCAATCTCTATATCATTTATAAATAGGATAAACAGTATTGACCCCAGGACTGAACCTTGGGGCACTCCACTCACCACTTTGGACCATTCAGAGAGTGAGCCATTATTCTCTATAACCTCTGGATACATTACTGCAACCAGTTTTTTACCCATGTGCATACAGTTTATTCAATGCCAATAAACCTTAGTTTGGACATTAAACATTTTCTGGGGTATTGTATCGAATGCCTGTGCAAAGTCCAGATATACTGCATCTACTGCAATTTTCTCTGTACGTTCTTGTCTGGTGAGAACGGCTCTTCATAAATCCATGATGGACAGTACTTATAATACCGTTATCACATCAAATTCTTGAATATAGTCTGTGACCATTCCCTCAAAAACCTTGCATATTATTGATGTAAGGCTGACTGGCTTGTAGTTACCAGGGTTAGACCTTTTTTGAATATTGGCACCACATTTGTTTTTCTCCAGTCATCTGGAACCTCTACCGTCATTAAAGTGTCCTTAAAGATTAGGAACAATGGTCTGGCAGTAACCTGACTCAGTTCCATGAGGATTCATGCATGTAAGCCATCTGGTCCTGGAGATTTATTAGCAGTTTTTTGCCGGTGGCATGATGCAAACTAAAAAATGTCATTAGCAACTAAGTTTCTTTAGCTGCTATAGAAATTATTTGTTTACATCTTGCTGCCGGCCGCTGGCTAGATTTAACGGCCGGTAGAAGAATGTAAACAATGGGGAGCAATAGCCAGCCTGCTATTGGCTATTTCAAATTGCAATGGCCAATAGAAGACTGGCTATTATACTCATGCATTGAGCAGAGGAGTGGACCTGGGAGAGAACCTCTCTGCTCAGTGGGTGGGTTTCAATAGCCAGCCCGCTACGGGCTATTGCAATTTGAAATAACCAATAGCTGGCTGGCAATTGCACCCACCCACTGAGCAGAGGAGCGGACCTAAGAGAGAACTTTCTCTCTCAGGTCCTCCCCTGCGCTCAGTAGGCATGGTTTCAATAGCCAGCCTGCTATTGCCGATTTCAAATTACAATAGCTTTTGCACCCGCCCACTGAGCAGAGGAGCAGACCTGAGAGAGAACTTTCTCTCTCAGTGTTCGCTTCTCTGCTCAGTGGATGGGCGCGATAGCCAGTCTGCTATTGGATATTGCAATTTGAAATAGCTAATAGCAGGCTGGCTATTGCTCTTTGGGGGGGGGGGCACTGGGGGGGGGGTGGTTGCTTGAGAGTTACTAACTCTCAAGCAACTAGAAACTACAGTTATCCGATTGCCGTGGGTGTAGGATAGCTGGGAGTTTACTGTATATTCTTCTCTCTTGTGTGTAAAAACAGAAGAGAAAAAGTGTTTAATACCTCTGCTTTCTCCCTGTCACTTGTAACCAGCTATCTTTGCTGCCCTAATTGCATTTTTGCTATTCTTGTTACATTCTTGGTAGTGCTTAAATGCCATTGATGACTGTTCCATCATATACATGATTACCCTTTGATCGCGATTACCCAAGTTTTCCCTTACATCCACATCTGTCATTAGTTCGGTAGTATTAGACATTAGTAAGTCTAACAGAGCATTATGTCTAGTGTATGAAGTGACTCGCCTTTGTTGCGCGTGTTGATACGTTTACCTAATCAATATCTGGATAGTTGAAGTGCCCCATAATTATATCACTGGCTTGCCTCCCTGTCATCTTTACTTGTTAGAGTAGTTGAAATTCTCCCTTTTCTCTTTTGTTAGAGGGCCTATCAAATATGCTGAGCAATAATTTACCATTTTCATTGCTTGTTTTTATCCATAGCCATAAAAAATCTGCACCTTCCCCAGATGCATTATGGTTGTTGTCACGCACATTGATTATCACATCTTTCCTGAGGTACATGCATACTCCTCGCCTTCTTCCATCTTCCGGATCCCTCCAAAATAAATTGTACCCTTCGATATTTCCAGTCCAGTAATGTGTGCTATCAAACCAGGTTTCTGTCTTTCCCACAAAGTCCCTGCAATATTCTATTTCTGCCTCTCTGTGTAATAACAATCCTTATAAAGTGGGGAAAGGGGACACCTACATAAATCAACATACAGTTTGTAAACCTACATAGGTCTCTATATTAATGTAATCTCAAATATAATGCATTTCCCCCATAAAGAGATCCCATTATAGGATAATCAATATCCAGAATATTTATTAAATAATTTTACCATCTTGATTCATCAACCATATAAATACACAAATATATAGACAAACGTTTAAAATTCTAAAATGTATCCCTTCTGACCTGACCACGGCTATGTAATATCAAGTATCCAAATATGTTATTTTGACCCCAACTATGTATGACTGGTAATAGTATCAAAGTGAATAACACTGTTCCAGAACCTTATACATTAGTTGCATTGATCAAACTACACATTAGTCCTTGAATCCAGCAATCTTATCCACTTCATATGTGATTGAACTTCCTTTTAAATGATAATTGTCTCATTAGGTTTCCATTCGGTGGGTAAATATATCAATTAGACATCCATTCGTTCATACGGATTAGTCCTGCAAGCTTGCACATAGAGATTGTATACGTTGTATTTCTCGTGTATTGATTCTCCTAACAAACGCTTTGTGGATATAACTGGTATTTATAGCTGACATTACACCTGACAGTGAGGTCTGGTATTACTGGAACATACAAATTGTACTGTAAGATACTCATGACATTTCTGTTCCCAGATTTCAGCCTGATAAGCACTATGGAACCTTTGAGTTGATGGTTATTGAGGCACTATTCAGTCCAGTGCAATGCAGTAACAAGTGCTAAAATGCACAGCAGTGCAAAACTGACTGCAGGGCATGGCATTGTCATTCATTCTGAATAGCACTCCAGCACACCTTGCTAGTGGACCACAATGTATGTGCATCTCAGCGCATCACAACATAACTTAGCGCATCTTAACTTTATCTGCAAAAGTAGTTTGGACCAGTCCGGTCTTACATCCCAAACATTCATTTTGATTACCAAGAGGTTCTCTGTCATATAAAAACATTTAGTGCTGCTCTCGTTGTGGTCTCAACTTAGGCAAGAGTTGCATAAACTTCAGCTGCCTATATCTGGATCTTTGACCTTCAGTTATGACGAAGGTAACTTATTCTTATGCATGGTTTTACATTAATTGCTAACCTCAAACTGCCAAGTTTGTGACAGGTTATAGAGTTGTAGAAATGTCACCAGCACACCAATCCTTTTAGAATAGCAAAAGCTTCATTTATTTAAGTTCCTTGTCACATGAACAAGCGCTTTCGGGGCCACACAGCATTGCTAAAGCCTGATGAGGGAACCCTGTGTAGGCCCGAAAGCGCTTGTTCATGTGACAAGGAACTTCAATAAATGAAGCTTTTGCTACACTAAAAGGATTGGTGTGCTGGTAATATTTCTATAATCTTCTGGTATTTGCGGCACCATCCGCAGTCACTGCAAGCACCCCCCATCACAAGGGACTTTCGGTAAGGAGTGCAACAAGGATAGGTACATATAGGTTATAGAGTTGTGTCCTCAGTAATTGTTATAGCCCTTCAGCCACTGATAGAAAAGAACTGAAGGCTGGCTAAATGTGCTCCCTTATATCTGTCTGGAAACCCCTTATGAAGAGGGCCTTTACTTTCTGTATGTCCTTGGTCCATTAAACTCAAATGGTAAAGCACTTGTGAAATGTTTACTTTTAATGGAAATTGTTGCCCTGGGATTCCTCTAAAAGTGTATCACAGGCTCAGTGCTCATGGAAGATCAGTGTTCAGACGGGACCCCTATTGACTAGTGCTGCTTAAGTCTGTCCTCCAAGCCCCATCAGTAGACTCTAAGGGACCATTGCAGGGGATCTGAAGCAATAGATCCTGCAGGACAGTAAGTATTTCTCTTTGTCTTTTACAATTTATAAAACTGATTGAATGTCTGGGTAACTAGGGCATTTTAATTTGACTATGAGGCCAATGTAAAATTGAGTCTGAGAGATGCACATATTGAAAATTAGACATATTGTCAACATTATAATTTGCATATACAAAGTAATAGGATTTTGAGAATATAATTAATGAAATATAGAGAACAGAAAAATAACCTCATCCTTGCCATCTTGTTTTCACAGTGAGGGACCTTCCACCAATTTGCCTTGATGTTCGACAAAAGCAGCGTATCTCAATTGATACACTGCCGCCTGAGATGAAAGCCCCCATACTGCCTGAACCACCAAATCCAGCACGCAGCAAAACACTGAAGGATTTCCAGTAAGTGCAACATGAACCCTAAACTGTTTTTGGGAATATAAAATTGGTCACACCATTGTATTACCACGGGGAGGTGGAGTGGTAGCAGTTGCTTAAGTGTAACTTTCTATGCTTTTTTGTTTGTCAGCTGCTCATCTGTATATAAATAAAATGCACATCATTGTTCTTCTTTGGTGCTAATCTCATTTTTGAGACACTAACATATCAGTTTTAAAAAGTAAGAAACTGTCTTTTTTAAGTATCCTAAAGACTAGGGAGTATTGTAAAAGCTCTTTGTAGGGGATATGAGAAGGGCTGTGTTCAGATTTTGCTACATCGCTCTGTATCATTTAGTTCTCAACCTGCACTAACATATAAATGTGTAGTTTAAAGATACCTCATCACCAAACCATTCATTTCAACAAAAATATTTCCATTAGATTATATGTGCATTTCACAAACATTATGCTTGCCATTTACCTGTAAAAGATTCTCTTGTGTAGACATGGATATAATATCAGGAGCGCCAGTCACTCAAGTAACACTCTATACCCTTGGTTCTCAACTGGTGGGTCGTGACCCAAAAGTGGGTCGTGGCCCCGTGTTCAGTGGGTCGCTGTGTGTCCTACACTTTTTTAGGCAAGAGGCTCCTCAGCCTCTATCTAGCGCAGCACAGTCAGTCCTCGCACCAAGCAGCATTCAAAATATGCTGCCCAGGGCCAAGTGTCAGCTTGCAGGGGGCGTGGGCTGGGGCTATGGCCGTATGGGAGCTCCATCCATATGTGCATTGCTTACAGCTCCCTCGCCCGGACCGGAGTGACGTCACATTCTGGCTCCCAGCACCTCTACAAGTGGATGTATATATGGATGGAGCTCCATCATAGCACAGCAGCCCTCACTGGACCCCAGGCTAAGGATCCACTCCAGTTCATGTAAGAAAGGGAGACTGGGTGGATCTTGAAAGAAAAAATAAATAAATTTTTTTTGGAGTGTGTGACAATGTCTGTGAGTGTGTGAAATTGAGTCTGTGGTTTGTGTCTGTCAGTGTTTTTGAGGGCCCATTCCCATGTGATGAATGCACTGTATTTCACAATCACACCTACTGTGCAGAACATGGAGGATGGAAAGATGAACAATTTAAATACAAGTTAAGCATTTCAGTTCTACGATGAATTAGATGGGAAGAAGGGAACAGTTAAAAGTATTACTGTACTTTTACTGTAAACTATCCTGGAGGATCTGCTACCTCTTCTGTGCATGCATGGAAAACTCGAACACATTTGTAAAGAAAGGCCCTCCACCATTCGGACCATTAGTGTCTCACTAGGAATAAATCACATTTTTTCACGCATGTGCAGAAGAAGTAAACAGGCCAGCTAGGAGAGTTGCAAGCGTGGCTCAAGCTCCCAGCAGCCTGTGTGGGGATCTGGCAGAAGCAAGGATGGGTAAGCATAAGACTTGGGGGGGGAGGGGTGCTGGGACAGTAAAATGGAAGATCTGTACAGAAGTACAGTTATCCTTTACATATGGAGAATATACAGTACTGTACAGGAACTGCCAAGAAGGAAAATTTGGGGCAGGTTTTATGATACATTAAGATTGTAACACTTAAGTTATCAGCATCAGTCCTGTTCGTGACAGAATATGTACAGAGCGAGATTTGTGTGTATACATCTATAGATAAAGAAACTATAGATGTTTCTTTATCCCTCCACTGAAGGGACCCCCTGTTGGGGATAGAGTTCATCTAGAGTCCTTTGTGGGATCTGATCACCTGAACATGGGTCCTTCTTCTGTGGCTGTTCAGCAGTCTCTGAAGGAAGTTCCTCCAGATCCCTTCCTTTGTTCTGTCCTTAACTAGACAATAGTTCTTATTGTGGCTAAGGTTCCCACTCCTCGCTCCCTGACTATAGATTCTGCGCTGGACTGGGGCGGGTGTTTGTCAGTGTCCCAACCTTCTGTAGGGGACAGTATAACCCGACTGTTTCTAAACTTCTGTGTCCTTCAGTGGACTCCACAAAATAGATTTTGGAAGTACAAAAATATTATTATTTCAGTGCAGGTCCAATTTTATTTGGAAGGGGGGGGGAGCACTGCACAGTCTCATAAACCTCTTATTACCTTGAAAATATACTTGTTCCTTGTCAAATGGCTTGTTAAATTGTGATAGAAAGGCAGGTAATTGTCCCTGGGAGAAAAGTCACGCTGTAGAATGTTAAGGTGAATGAGAGGTTAGATAAAAATAGACTTTAATCTCCTTCTTACAGAATTGTGTATGATAAATTATAAACGCATGCTTTGGGGAGATCAAGAAACTTCTATTATGCTTGTTCCCGTTTCTGCTATAAAGATATCGTCATGATGGAAAGCAGAAAATCACGACACACATTTTATCCATAGGGGTCATTTTCAGTTTAGAAGTCATACACGACTTAGCTTTGAAAGAACAGCTAGCACATGTTTTTCACTGTTACTATAGACATTCTAATAGAATAGCTGACTGCAGAATACCAAAATAATGTATCTAGCCAATACACCACAGTAATTTGCTTCAATCTATATGAATACAACAAACTCTTAGTGGTCTAGTCACAAAGCTGCCGTAGGCAGCCAAGTGAATAACCGACCCAAAGTGAAGTGAGCCGAACGCTGCTCGGCTATTCACTTCAGGCTTGTACGGCTGATTTCAGCCGTACACCGACTAAAATCAGCCGAACATCGGCTAAGCGACATTCGACACGGCTATTCTGCCCGGTACCTCAGTGGTATCGAGCAGAACAGAAAAACAGTTAAAAAAAGTAGAACAAAATAAAATAGAAAATGATTGGAATGCATAGCTAGATTCCTATTGGCTATTTCACTTTGCATTAGCCAATAGCAAACTAGCTATTGCACCCGCCCTCTGCTGCTGTCAATCACCAGAGGGGGACCTGATGGAGAACTGGAGGTCCCCCTCTGCTGATTGACATCAGCAGTGGGCGGGTGCAATAGCTAGTTTGCTATTGGCTATTGCAAAGTGAAATAGCCAATAGGAATCTAGCTATGCATTCCAATCATTTTCTATTTTATTTTGTTATTTGTTATTTTAGATAACTATAACCCAACCTTTTTTGGCCACAGTTCTCTTTAAGGGCACTGGAGCACATTTACTAAACTGGATTTGATTGGGGGGCAGACACTATGTGTTGCTCCCAGTCAGCTGATGACAAGCACAGGGCTCTGTGGGCAGAGCAGTGGAGCAGTACCACCATGGGAAGAGATGCACAGCTGTCAACACTAAAATCAGCAGGTGTGGTCACGTGGTAAAAGGGGCCCAGTAGAACACTGATCAAGTCATGGACAGGCACGTTCTCACACTGCCAGTATCATTTACAAAATATGCAATCACACGCATGCACTATTCTTGCGATCGCACCTCTTTGGAATGCAGGACATTGCGGTACCACTGTGGGGGTATTCATGTCTGTGGTGCCATTGAAATCACGCCCCTTCCCTCCCCAGAATGTGGGGAGGCTTTGTTTATACGATCCAGTGCGTATGAACACACTGGATGGTGTGAACAAGCCCTTTAACAGGTTTGGTTTGGTGACAGGTTCACTTTGGCTACTATGCTTCTGCAGCATGTGTCCCTGCAAATTCTTCTACAGTGATGGCAACTGTGACACTAAAGAGTCGTTGGATGCAGAGAATGAAGACTTACTAGTATATATTCTGCTTGGTGAACTATGGGTGAAAAAGCTGTAAGAACAGAAAGAATGAACTCTATCCAGCAAATGCAATCATTTCTGGGATAAAACAAAACAGATTTGCCCGTGTAAACTATATGCAGCTGTTGAGTTTGGTGTACTTTTAAATAGACTGCTCCTTAAACATTGTGCACCTTTGTCATACAGTCAACTGTAACAGCAGCAGTGACATCTAGAGGCTAGAGTAATGTACAGTACTTAGTTTTTGCTGTATTTTTCCATATTCTGATGTAAAGCATTTTACATGGAGATGTGAATCATATGTAAAAAAAAAAGAAAGTTACATTTAAAATGTCACATACAGAGATACTGAATTTGGGATGGTTTTGAGAAGAAACACTACTTAGCCCTATTAGTGTCACAAATCGCCACATCACGTTAATATGAATTTCTTTATTTGCATTCCTCTAACAAACAGCCACATGTGCACAAATATAGAATTATAAGACCTTTGCCAGTCTCAGGTGTCAGTAGGCCTGGAACAGGAAAAGCAACTCCATTTCTCATGGTGCAATTTGGTGCTCTGCCCTGGTCTTGGAGGCACAAGCGAAGACATGCTGTACATTGTATATATGCATATATATTTGACGCAGTGTTTAAATATTGATAGCTAGACTTCTTTAAAGGAGCATTTATGCTTCTGAGGACTGCATTTACCAATAGTTGTTTGTCAGCTGAAAACTCTAGACAAAAGACAAAGCTGGCAAGAGCTTAGCATTCTACCACGGGTCCAGCAGTTATCATAGAGCAACTAACCTTTCAATGTGATGTAGAAGTCCACTTTACAGCTTTTTTTTCATCAATTCATGCTTTACATTAAATTCTTGTACAGAATGTATGCAAATGTGAACTTTAAAAATACCAGAGCTAGCACAAATATTTGGAGGTGAGGATTCCAAATGCAAAAAAAAAAAAGCAATGAGCAAGAACATGAATGGCAATCATTTCAAACCTTCCCCATGGAAGTTTCTGCATGCCCAGCAAATGTATGATATACACAGAAGATTGCCTTTTATTGATCCTGCCCCAGTGGACACTTTATATTCCACATTAAGCAGCATTTACAAAAGGTACAAAATGTCAACGTCTGTGTCATTTTTTTTCCTTCCAGCCAGCAAGTGATTACTGTCAACTATCAGTAAAACTTTAGATTTATCCAAAGTAATGAATCAGGCCATGGCTCACATGTGCAGTACCTAGGGCAGCTGACCAAGGCCTTGAGGAGAAAAGATCATTGGATAAGGAAGGTATTATGTCAGGTGAACTGCACTTAGGTAGGTAAAGGTGAAGTCCTCCTGTAACGTGGACCCTTTACCTTTTCTACCTCCTCCCCTGCTGTTCCCTATTCTAAATCAGTGATATAGTTCTTTAATAAAATTCCCTCACCCCCATTTCTAGTGCAGCCCACCTAGAATAATATTTACATTCCTTCCCAAGCCACCGATCTTTCCTCCAACAAGGTCTTGGTCCTCACGCTTTCACAATTCACATGTGAGTTGCGGCTCCATTAATTTATGTTGGTAAGCTGTACTCCCAAGGGACCATTCGAGGCCACAATCACTACAGCTTACCAATAAGTGTCAGAGCATGCATGCTGGGTATGAAGAGGAAATGAGCAGGCCAGGATGGTGTAGAAGGACAAAAAGCTAGATCAGGGAGGAAGGTAAGTATTTGCCATGTAGGATTGACCTGGGGAGTTAATTAAAGGACCGTTTCACTTAAGTGGAAGTAATCCTCTAAAGTAGATCTATAATCACATCATCCACCTCAGTATGGTTGAAAACCATTGGGACCCAATGAATAATAAGGGTTGCTTTTCTAAAATCGAATTATAGTTGGTGGACATTTTTTTCGGGGTGGATAATGCTTAGTGAAGTTCTGCAGTCTCAGAAAGAATGGCCTTTGTAGCTGTACGGAAAGGCTGCTTAATTCCATATCCATTTCAACAGTAGAGCCTTTTAGCAGGGAGATGGTTGATTTGGACTACCTGCAAAATGCTGCTTAGGCTAGAAAGTTTCATTAAATATAATACAGTAACTTTTTAAAAAGATGACACTATTGTATAACACTGAAACAAAATGTAGCTTGTTGAATAAAAAAACAGAGACCTCCTAATGAAAGTATATAGTAAGGCCTCATTAACATTGTCTCTGAAGCGGGGGAAAACATTTCTGCAGTCTGAAGAAAAATTATTTTTATAGCTGGTATACACAAGCCAGCCGTGCTGAGCACATGGTTGCTGGTGTGTGCTGAGAGTAACCGTGCCGATGCACTGATCCTGGTGCCATTTCTTTGTTTTTGTAGAACTTTATTAAAATGTCACAAGTACCATTTAATTCAGTTCTATTCACCACAGCAGTGTTGCGGTGGTTGCAACACATTGCTCTGACAAGAAAAGTACCACATGCCTGGCCTTTTTTGAGTGCACAGAACTGGCCACACTGAAAAAACACACTTTTTGTCTTGTCTAAGCATTGGGACTGCACAGTTAGTAACTGGACAACATCCCCAAAAACCAATGCAAACATAAAACTTATGTACATGGGTGCTCTTTTAGACCTGGTGATGTAGCCATGCCTCAATTCCCATGGGGCTATTTTTCTTGCTTAGCTCATACACCTTGGTGCAGGAAATTAATTCAGGTTCCCCTGTTATTTGGTCCGAGGTTGGGGCGACTCTAAATTGAAATGTCCACCAACACCCCAAATGGTGTTGTAATCTTTTCCTTTTAATTACATAAGAAAGGCATTACAGGCTGGCGTTTGGAGACCACACAGAGTCTCTTTCTCGAGGCAAAGGCATCACCTTTCCAAGAAAAAAAGACCCTGTATGGTGTAGAAATTTCACCCTGTGGGTCATTTTTCCCCCTATGTTAATAAAAGGAAACAAATCATACATTCCATACCACTTTTGATGTGCTAGTGGATATTTCTACGTAAAATGATGGCACGGTGGGACAAGCTCCTATGGTGTATGCCAGACAACACCCCAGGTGCGCCAGGTTGGAGCAATACTTAATTTTTTTCTTATTTATTTAAACTGCATATATTTTATTCACAGGCTTTCATTATCACCATAAGCCTTTTCCTGCTATTAGATTGACCAGGTATACTGTAGAACTAAATGGCCATGTCAAGCCTAACAACTTTTACAAAAATAAAATTGGCGTTCTTTAGTATTATTAATGCATTTACGTTGCATTGGAAACTTCCAAAGTAGCTTGCTGTACGAACACTTTACTATCTGTCATTATGTGAAAGGCTTAAGAAATGTGCCCACTACAGTATGATTTACAGCACAAATTGCAGGAACCTTATAATCCGTGTTATCTTCCTCCAGTACCACACCAGGATTGTGTAATTTGTTGCTTTGGGGGTAACTTCTCTAAAATGCCAACAGACATCACTGGAAAAAGAATAGTTATTTAGTCATGTATATGCTCTGTCATTATAGCTCATTATATGTCAAATTCTAGAGGTTTTCAGCCTTCCTCAGACATAAAATCATTGACTACATTTGGTACGTATAATTTGAATATTTCAACATAATAAGGGATTCAGATCTATAATCAGGCTGTCACAAACATTTCTCAATGGTTAACGTGCAATTCCCTGCTGTTGTGAAGGGAGATTAAAAAAAAATCAAGACAAATTGCACAGTGGATATAAACATGATCATAAATTCTGTAAATTGGCATACTAAAATCTGCATTGTCAGCACTGGAGGATCGGAGAGGGGAGGGGGGAATCCCTGCGAGGAGCGGTGACAGTCACCGCTCTCTACAGGGAGATGATCGGGAAGTCAGCGATCGGCAGTATGTTTTGCGCTCACTTCCCGATCTCAATAGAGCCGACCTGTGACAGCTTCTATGTCACGTCAGCTCTAATTATGGGGATGAGTGTATTTCACTCTCCCCATAATTCTCATTTAAATAGCTGCATCTATACTGTCTTGCCGCCTTTATGTTGCCCTCCCCCAAAATTGCTGCCTCCCTTCAGCCACATCGATAGCCACATGTGCTGTCCACCTGAAACCACAGATCAACCCTGTCATGCATGAATTAAACTCGTCCCCATAGTTATCCTTTAAAGATGCTCTTTCTCCAGGTTAAGCTGGTTAGAAACGATTACCATGTTAGAGGGGCCAACCTATTTTAAAGTCCCAGTGTATGGATGATATAATAACCATGCTCTGAATATTGAACAGGCAGGATGGACAGTCTTGTCACAATTGCTGCATCTGCATATGTTGGTCAATGTCTTCTGGTGCCCCCTGTACCAAGTTAATTAATTCTGCTGGGCATGAAACATATGACCAAATGTAAAAGCTATTTGTGCATAGCCAAGTCTTACAAGATCCAGCCTGTGGATGTCTATAGTCTGGATCTGATGGCCAGAACCATATTAACCATGGAGGTAAAGTAAGAATTTGTAGGGGCATACTTGTAAAACAAGACACAAAATTAGATTTTTATACCTATAGACCTTGAGTTTCTGCTTTACTACACTACATTACTAGAGGGAGCACATTTAGTATTGGGAGCAGATCCCTAACACTAAACTCCTAAAGAACTACTCTTGCTTTGTCGGCAGCCAAAAGTATCACTAAAAGATATGACAACTGACCATACGTTTTAGGCTCCATTCACACAGGAGCAGATGTGCGCGTGCATTCAGCCGTACGAATATGCGCGGAACCGCTCTAGATAGTTATAGCCGCAAACTAGCGGAATCCATGCAATTGTAAAGATTTTAGCGTGCCATGTGGTATTCCGCATGTTAAACTGTGCGGGAAACGCAAACGCTATATGTGAAATGAACCTCAGGGGCTTTAAGGTAACCAGAGGTCCATTATTCCTAATTATCTATGTAAAGTAATACAAGAAATCATTATTATATCTTGCCTAGATAAAGCCACCACTGCCATATGGTTTCTTTATACTTGTGTGTTATGTTTTGCAGGATAGACCTGGACAAAGCCAAATCAACAGGCGAATGGAAAGCTGTGCACGAATTTTATTTAACTACGTTTGATTCATTCCTGGAGTTAAATGCTGCTTTCAAGGTAGCAATCTATAGCATTTGTGTGGAAGTCTTTTTTTACTATTGTCAGTAATGTTTTTATACAGAATACACTGCAGTAGCTCTCACATGGATATCAGAGGGATATAGAATAACAAAACAAAAACTGACTCTGGAGTCAGTAAGCTTAACATTATGAGTAATGCTAAGTGAAGGTAAGTATCAGCACGTACAACTTTTAGCTTCTGTAAGGGCATATAAAGGCAATAGCGTGCACACACATAGAACACAGAAGACCTTAACTGGTAAAAAAACATTTTGTTCTACTGGCTAAAATTTCTGTATATTATGGTCCCATTATAATAAGGATTTTGTGAAGGGACGCTCTGCCTGGGGGGGCGTGTCCTAGATCTCTAATTTATACGTATACTGCGCGCTCGGGCTGGTATTCAGGGCGAGCGTGCAGATGCTTTCACAGACTGGAGAGGGGGGACGGGGAGCTCCCGGTCGTCTCCCTCCCTCTTTTTATGTTGAGTAATGGAAAAATGAAATGATTTTAATGTAATATAATATGTAATATCTGTAATATCCTCTTTATGTCTTAAATTAATAATAATAAAATAATTTAAATGAAAAAAAATAATAAGGATTTTGTGGCTGCCCCATGCATTTCTTAAGACTTTTTGCCAGTATTTAAATTACAGCTTTTTGTGGTCATGCTGTATCATCTGCATTTTATAGCATCTGTTATGTCATCCTAAGTGTGCTATGCTACCTTTTTGCATGTACGTTGAATAAATAGACATATTCTATCTGCTTTTGGTGTGCCGGTGTCCATATTTCTCTGTTATGTCATCCTAACACCTTTAACACTGCATGATCTCAGAAAACGGCACAAAAATGACTGTTCACTTCCTGCTTAATCAGGAGAAAAGTTCAGTTCCAGGGATGCAATCTGATGGCAGCTGGAAGTATGTAAACACACAAAGATTCTGATTGTACAATCCCACTAGTGGTAGAGAGCATTATGTTAAAGTGATACTAAACTCAGGAGTTAAATTTAAAATTGCATTCAAGTACCTTAATTATTAACAAAAATGTATCTTATTTGTATATCACTCAGCTGTAGCTCCTCAAATCATCCCTCAATTGATGGGCACGCTGTCCTTCTTTCTGGACGGTGGCTGCTTTTGTTCTGCATGGTCCCTGTGTAAAGTAGCCACCGCTCCAAGCTTGCTCCCCGTGATGGACTACAATCTCACGTTTAGTTTACTCATATGCATTGTAGGTTGTAGTCCATCACAGGGAGTGAGCTTGGAGCGGTGGCTACCTTACAACACACACAGGGACCATGGGGAACAGAAGTAGTCACCCTCCAGGAGGGTTCAACTCCAGAGTTTAGTGTCACTTTAACCTGCACTATTATACAGAAAAAGGAAATTTAAACAATGATGTTTAACAATCTATTTGTTGAAAACTTTTTCAGCTCATCCCATGGCAGTTTTGTTGTAGTAAGCTAGTGGGTGATCATTTGTGCCCACAATGGTCAGATGTAGATAACCTTCTATAGTACGATGTGTGGGTATTCAGTACTAGAGTGCACATTAGCTGTTCTACTGTATGGCATGTCGGTTAAGGTATTAGCTGGTTATAAATTTGTGATTTTAATAGCCTCTTGTTTTAAAGCGCTATCCTGCATTTTAATTAACGCAGGGTTTTTCTTTGACTTCCATGTTAGTAATTAGGTGCTCTATTTTACATACTGTTGGATGCACTGCTAAACAAACACCAATACTAGAACTGAAAAATAATATTCATTCACTTATACACTGTGAAGTGGAGGTCTTAGTTATATCATACCGTATGCAAAACAGGACATTTGTAACATTAAAGCACAATCTTGTTTTACAGGAATAACTTATTTCTCTTTTCACAGAGAGATGTAAATACTTCTGTCAACACTGTTGAGGATTCCAGAATTAATACAAAGTTTTTAAACACTGTTTATGATGCCTTAATAAATACTGTAAGTATGACAAGTTTATCCATTTCAGATGTTCTTGTACAGTTAGATTTACTGTAATGGGTAGTTTAGCCAGTACTTGCTGCAGAAATCATCTATGTGAATCCATGTTGACAACTACATACATTAAAATGAATTCTTAGGCCTTAGCAGGTGCAGTAGTACAGAACAAAATCATGATTATGGATCTTTTACCTTAAAACGGAATGATCCTCATTGGCCATAAACACTTAACCCCCTTTTAGCTGACCGTACAAACATCCTGCTTTCCTTACCAAAGCTTTCATCAATCGAGTAGCTATCAGTAGAGCAGGGTCTGTGTAAGGGGTCATTTGAAACAAAACTATATAGTGTAGCAATATACTGCTACCCATGTGTCATTTCTGCAGTATGGTGACCTTATTTACATCATTTTTTTTTCTTACAGTATGTAAAAGTTTATCGGAGGATGCATTTTTACTTAATGAAATACAAGAGCCACTGTAGCAAAGTTACTACAGGCATCATCAATTCAAACCAAGTTAAAAAAAAGCAGAGGGTTGCATTTATTGAAATTCGGATGTTTAAAATATGTAGATATATTGATATAGGCAGATAAAATATCTGTAAATCCTAACTTTTCCTGTGACGTCACAATGGGTCCCATCCCTCCGTCCACCTTCCAAGACTGGTTGGTTATTTATGTGACAGAGGATCCTACTCACTAGTAGGTCTAGAAGATGCTCAAGGTAAATTTTTACAGGAAGTTAAGATTTGCATACAATGTCAGTTGCCTATACCTGTGAATCTACTGATCATTTTGTCATAGTTTTCACTAAAAGGTAACCTCTGCTTATGTATATTCACATCCCATGCTCACTTTACATTGCCCTGGTTTATTTTAAACATGTCATTTCATGACTATTAAAATAATGTTTTATTTTACCAGGCTCAAGATATCCAGAAAACAGTGCTGAAAGGGATTATTAACAGTCTGTTAAGGGAATGGAAAGGGTAAGAGAAGTTCGCTGTCTATACCTTATAATAAAACATCACTTTTTTTTTAGTGCCGTTTTCTGTTTTTTTAAGAACTCTGGGGGGAAAAAAATCTTAACCCTTGCATGTTGGCTACCCGCACACTCCAAGGGTTAAGTGATCATTTTCCCCTAGATGCCAAAATAACAAAGTAATACTCACCTGAACCTCGTAGCCGGTTGGCGGTTACAGAGCACTCTCCAGCCTGTTTCCTCCTCCGATTCAGATTATGCCCCTCAGTGTCCTCACCGAGTATTGGATGTGATGACTCACAGGACATTACACCGCTGGAGTGGAGGAGGAGTGAGGCTGAAGGGACTGAACTGACCACCCAGCTTGGAGGATCAGGTGAGTATAACTTTTTTTTATTTTCGCACCTAGACGAAAACGAGCACTTAACCCTTGCAGTGGACTGCCAATGGCAGGCCGTGTATACACAGTGGCTGGCCGGGAGGTAGTTAATAACCAAAAGATGGCAGTAAAAAAGTTATATTTTAGCATTCTTCTTTAACTTATATCTATAGCCTTAACATTTTTTTCTAGTTATGGCTAAAGTGGGGAATGGCGAAAACTCCTGTCTTTACTTTTCCACATTGTGGAGATTTCCCTTCACTTTCAGTCCAAAAGCCACAACAGAAAGTGAGAAAATCTCTGGGAAGATTAATCTCCTCTTAGACAGTATTCACTGGAACATGAGTCCCCATTGATATAGTCCCTCTGTTCTCCTGTTCTAGTGACAACTGTACAATTTTAGATTTTTCCATTACTTTCCATCTCAGTGACCGTAATCACCAGGAGAAAGAGAGAGCATTATCTTCTACTGCAACAGAACAAGAAAAAAAGGAGGAAAAAGGATGGAGGCTTTATTTAAAGAAAGCTCTATCTGTCCCCAAAAAAGGGTATAAAATTCATTTCAGTACAGCGCTGCATGACAGAATAAATGTCAGTCAAAGTACCGCAGCGCTGAATACTGAAAAATGGCCTGGTTATGAAGGGGGTTTAACACTGCGGATGTCAACTGGTTAAGTCATCAAAAAATTTTGGTTTCATGAATATAAAAGAGCAATTTGTTATTACTGCACTTCCTAAACCTGGCTCTAGTGAAAATATGTTTTACCTGTGATAGATTGGGGAAGGGTTAGACCCTCTGAGTATTTTATTGTAGTTGGTGCCATAGTGTCTCCATTACACCTGTTTTCCCGCATTTTTTGTCCTGAGGTCTCAGAGATTAAAAGTGCTGTTACAGTTCAGTTATAGCAGTTTACGTTCTCATTGATAATGTGTTGTGAGACTTTTTGCATTCAACCCAATAAATATTATGCCGTGCAAGACATTTACATTTGAAATTGTTTTATTAGGCCAAGAACAAAGGATGACCTTCGGGCCTATTTTATCCTAACACAGGTCAGAAGATTTTTGACTAGTTTCTAATTTATTCCATGTTTTTCTGAAGTGGAAAAGTTTACATTTCTAACTTCTTTATAATTGTTTTTTTTTTTTAAAGAATCCACAGTTCAGCAGCACCTCTACTTATGTCATCTACGCACATCTTCTTAGACAAATCGCCACACTATCAGACGCGGACCACAATTTATTGATACATTGGTTCAAAAAGTAAGGACATTTCTTATTTATGGTGAACTTCATCAAGGATTTTTCTTGGACAGGGTAGGGGGGGCGGAATTGGTATGGAAAAGGAAGAGAAAATGACATAGCTACTCATCCCTGGCATTTGTGTTACTTGTTCTGCCAATTTCCTTACCATGACAATTACGCACATGCTGCAAACACTATTTTTGAAGCAAACACCTTCATCTAGTTCATGCAAATAATATGTTTTCTGCCCTGTAGCCAGAAGATATGCCTTACAACTAGTTACATCCACTGACGATTCACCCACTCAAAGGTTACTAGTGCTAATGTCAGTTTCAGTTTGAACAGTGCAAAATTTTAGTTATTTTACTCAATTTAGTTGGGGAAAAAAAAGTGGATTAGGGGACCACACATAGCATTGACGGAGTTAACACATTTTTTTTCCATGCATTGATGTACATTGCCCTAAGGCAGTCCATTGTAATGAATGAGCTGGCAATGCACCAAAACATCCCAAAAATAATCAAGCACAATTGTTACCAACGCACCGTGTTGCATTATCATGCCGTGTGCACGCTGCACTACAATTCTGTTGAAGCTTCACTGCATTTATGTGTTGGGGTGCCGTTAAAAACGAATGGCACTGCAGTGTGCTAACACACATAGTTTGCATTAATGTGTGTTGCAGCAACACGCACTTTTACACAACACACTACGGAGGGAAAATGTGTTTCAGCACTTGCTAGCTAGCATTAGCAGTCTACTGCACAATTTTTTAGTCTAATGCTAATGTTTAGTGTTTTCCATTTGAAAATAAATAATGCATTAGGGAAGGTTAAATTCTTTGTTTCTTTTGCTAGGGTGTCACCAAAGCGTTTTAAGCAACTGGTTGACCGATTGCTACAGTTCATATCCTTGCGCCTCTTTCCTGCAAAGCCTGAAGAGTTCCCACCAGCAGCAAAATGCACGTGGTGGATTTCATCTGCAACCAAAGCGCTAACTTTGTTAAGTAGGTTGAAAGAATAATGTTTGCTGGTCATAGCACTGCTAGTTATTAGCATATTTGCTCTAATGTGTATGTTCACAAAAAAAAGATTTTTTCATTTTGGTAGATGCTTGCTAATTGATTTACTCAAGTTCTTACCTCTTGCAGCCATAATGACGGGATATCATTGTTCCTGTTAAATATTTAGTGCACATTACACAAGGATATTACAAAAAGAGCATGACTCAATAGAAACGAGTAGACATGGAGTAGGTTACTAGGTTATTTTGGCTGGGTGATCAGTTCAGCCTAGCATTTACCCATGAATGAAATATGTTTTAATTTAAATTATTCTTTGTCTATATGGTCTCACAGTGCTTACAATTAAATTTCCATATATACAATTACTAGGATTAAAAGAAATGTAATGAAGGTTGAAGGTGGATATGAAAGCATCTCATTCTATAATGATAAACCATTCTGAACATTTTCAAGATACGACTTTTAGCCTATTATAATTAGTCAAAAGTTTTCTGATTAGACGTTGTGTGTTACATTGCATTGCACCTTACTCTACTATATATCAATGCTTTTATTTAAAATGACCCTATTATTAGCAATATACTATGGCAGATACCGTTAACCGTTACCAAGTAGATTGTTGACTTTACCATAGTTGGACAGGCAAACATTGGATCTTCACCTTTATCTGTAGGCACTGTTTGAATGGAGATCCAATGTTTGCCTGTCCAGATATGTAAAATAAGTCAACAATTTCCATCGGGTTTTACTTATTTTCACATGATTGTATAATCTGCATGGTCACCTTTTTTTCTAAACTAGTCACAGGCATAGGCCCATAGGGTGTACTATGGTACTGTACTTGGTCATAAATAGTCCTGACTCAGTTTGATACTCAGGCAAGTATCGGGTCAAGTAGGCACTCCTTCAGAAAACACCAAGAAGTATGACCCTTCTCTTTTGTCACTAAGTAGAGGAAAGAAGGTGGTTAACGGCCTGTGCTGCTTTAGTCTGTTGGGTGACTTACAGTCATGGTGCTATAGGACAGGCCTTTTAGACATTTACCTGTCTATGGCCACTCTTAGATACAGTATATTACCACTGCCTAAACTTAGATTATTGTCACTGAGATTTTTTTTTGCTCCCACAGATGCTGCAAACTCTCTGTGCAATCCACCAATTATTCCTTTCACCGACTTCTATAATTCCACTTTGGACCATATTGATCTTATGGAAGACTATCAAACCTGGCAGTTTTATGGTAACACTCACAGGTGGGTACTTAAATTTAATTAGACTTTATTCTTACAATAGATGCTATTTATTGTTTTTCATTAAAACCTCAACAGATATAGGGGTGTATCTATAATATTTTTACCTAAGATGCAACCAGTGTGTAAATTAATCTTATGTGGAAATAAGGTAAAGGTTATGAATGTTATGAATATTGGGTGAAAACAATGAGAAATACACCGAACAGTAATATAAAAAGGTAATTCAAGTGTTTGGTTACCCTACTGTTTTTCTAATGCATGGTTGAAAATAAATGGTTGTTATGGGCATCTACTCCACTTGTCCTTGTAATTAAATCCCTAGTTAAGGATTTCAAATGTATGCATTGGGAAATAGAAGCAGTTTGTGTTGCTTTAAACAAAACTAAGTTTCACATTTATTGAGTCACATTTATTAAGTTTAGTGTGGGATAAAAATAATTAATTTACCTAGCTGTACTCTAGTCACAAGACTTGGCCCAGTACCTCCACAGCATGCCAAAAAACACTAGGCTGATTCCTGCTACATGCGCCCAGCAGACATTTTTGAGAATAAGGGAGCAGCAGCTCTGGTGCACCAGTAATGCCTGAGCTTTAAAACAAAAAAGTTTTATACTATAGCAAGAGGCCAGCAGTAGAGAAAGGAATTAAGTGATCAGTTGTGGTTATGAAAACCAGTTAGGTGGTGTTTGCAATCGTGAAGTACTAAACTGGAGGGGAAAAAAAACAGTTACCCACAGTGGTATTTAAAAGAGAAGTATTGGGAGAATAAAAAGTACTCTTCCTAATACTCTGAGTCGGCGTGTGACATTGCAGCTTTCACACGCCGGCTCTATAGCTCGAGAACTGAGAGTGATCACTAACCGCTGATCGCTCAACTCATGGCTTTTTCCCTGCAGAGACTGACAGTCACCGCTTCCTGCAGGGATTCCCCCTCCCCTCTCTGTTCCTCTAGTGCTCACTGGAGGGTCAGACAGGAAAGGGGGTGCACACAGCCTAGCGAGGCAGTGCCAGTTGTCAATCAGGCAGTGGGGTGGATGCCGACAATATTGTCGGGATCTTTCCTGGCTGCAGCGCAGCTCTGCACTGTCAGCTGATAGCGGGCAGGAGCCCACTCTTTGCTGCTGAGTTTGGGTAACAGGAGGGCATTTAATGTCCTCCTGTGACCCAAAAGAAAACTAAAGCCAAAAAAAAGGTTTGGCTTTAGTTCCCTTTTGTTGTAAATAGATAGATGACCATTCCATACATTCCATACTTCTTTACATACACTCCTCCTTATTCTTGATTTTCCCAAGATGCTAACCAAATGGGCCCTAACTACAAAACTGTGAATTACACCACAACATTCCAGTAAACACTGTGGTACAGGTGAGAGAAGATATCATGGTGAGCTATAGTGAATCAGGTAGTAAGAAGAGTGCAACCTGGATAAGTTGGCACAGTCAGGCAAGTCAAGTGCATCATAATGAGTCATTAGTAGTAGTGGGAGACAGTATAAAAGCAGACAATAGGCACTATCCTTGTCGCACTCCTTATCGCTATGTCCCTTGTAGTGGGGGGTGCTCGCAGTGACTGCGGATGGCGCCGAAAATATCAGCAAAATTGTAGAAATGTCACCAGCACACCAGTCCTTTTAGGATAGCAAAAGCTTCATTTATTGAAGTTTTTTTGTCATATGACCAAAAGCAGGGGCACAACTTGATTCTTAGTTCAGAGGTCATTATAAAACTAGTTTAGGGCATTTGGCACCAGACATCTGAACAGTGGCAGATAACATAGGTAGCTAGGGGAACCAAAGCCATCTATCAGGACATGTAGGAGGTTCAGATACAGGGCAAAAGGTTACTGTAGGTGACTGAGTGATTATTTAAGCCCAACTGAAGTCACAGAAATAGATAGGCAGTTGGACATTGTAATAACAGCCTCCATTTTCATAGTCTTAACTCAACGTTCCTGTTACAGCAGTTGTACAGGTTATCAGGATATGACTGCCTAATGTAATAAGCACCAAAAAAGACCCTGAACACTCAGTAATTCACACAGACTATGTCAGACACACCCTCTCACTTGCTATACAAATCTATGTAAGGACTCTTTTGTTGAGGGATGTGGCTGTCATTCCACTAAGCCAGCACAGGGCATTGCAACTTGAGGACACAAAGCAAAATGTTCACTGACATGCAAGACACGCACATTAGGAAGGACACCCCAATGCATATAAAATGTATTAACCAACACACTTACACTTCAGATCATTGCAATGCATGTGAGAAAATGTACATGTGGTGCACTGCTTTGCCGAAAAGAAGTGCAGGTGTGTTTTATTGTGTACTGAGACTTGTTAAAGCACATCTACAGGCACAGTGTTTTTTATATTTTTGAAAACTTTTAATAATTCCTACAGATGCTACATCAGAATCCTTGCTACAGATGTTACTTATTCACAGTCCAACATGCCCAGTACAAACACAAAGGAAAATGGCAAAAATAATACAGATTTTTTAATAATGCATAATATATTGTTGAACAATGCTAATGAAGGCTTGGGTTCAACATTTAACAATCCACTTATGTTTTTAGGTTTTCATTTTGTCAGTTTCCCTTTGTCCTCTCCATTGCTGCAAAAAAAGTCATCATCCAGAAGGACTCTGAGCAACAGATGATCAGCATTGCAAGAGTAAGTCGGGCTTTGTTAGTCCTATATATGTCATTTCAAAATGATTGTTGTAAGGGCCCACACCATTGCACTAATGCAATTTATGTGTTGGTAAGCTGCGGTGCTATTAATTTTAAATGGTACCAAAGTGCACTGCAATGCATGGTAATGCACTACTGTCCTTTGCGGTGTGCTATGTTACTAAAAATGCAGCAGGTTCAGCTTGTTGGTGCAATTGGCAACCCTTTCAACTGAATCGGCTGCCTTAGAGAACTAGGAGGTGAGTGATTTTCACTCAAACCTCATAGTTCGAGCTGATGTGTGACAATTAAACTGTCACAGGTCGGCTCAATAGATCGGGAAGTGAGCGAACACATACTGTCGCTCGCTCACTTCTCAATCATGTGCCTGCAGAGCAGAGAGCCGTGACTCACTCACGCTGACTGGCGGAACGGACGAGGGAGGGGGCGGGTACAGCTGGCTCTGCTTCTAGATAGGCAGAGCCAGCTGTCAATCACGCAGCTGGGTGGATCTCGACAGTAATGTCGGGATCCATCCCTGCTGCGGCAGTCTCAGTATACCGCGAGCTGTAGCTCGTGGTATACTGAGCTTTGGTCACGGGAGGACGTTTGTGTCCTCCCGTGACCCTTAGGAGAACTATGGAGAAAAACACTTACCCCGCAGTTCAGTTCCCCTTTAATACAATGCATACTAATGCAATTTGATTTCTTACAATAAGTTTCTATGAAATTTGCAACCAAACTTAAATTAATTTAAATTCTTTATCTCTCTCTCTCTGTAGTAAGAGGAAGGGTAGAGATCATTAATGTAAACAGTAACATTGTGATCGCTGCTATCAGTCATCACAGCAATCACATATTACAGGGTCAGGGACACTGTACAGGGCTTGGTTCTGTACAGTGTCTCTGTGTACTGAGCGGCGCCCAGCAGCCATTTGTAGTAGGACATTTATGGTCGCCTTCCAGAAATAGAAATTCACCTCCCTGTTGTTTTTTTACAATACGGCGGCAGGAAGGTAGTTTAACACAAAAAAACGATAAAAAAAAAATACATGTTTTCACAAGACTAGCAGTCATTTCTTAGGCCTGGTTCACACCTGTGCATTTTACAGCGCGTTCCTACGCTCAACATGTGAAAACCAATAATTGCCGATGGGCAGGGTTCCCACCTGGGCGTTTTACAGCGCGTTCCTACGCTCAACATGTGAAAACCAATAATTGCCGATGGGCAGGGTTCCCACCTGGGCGTTTTACAGCGCGTAGGAACGCGCTGAAAAACGCCCTACGCCCAAAGAAGTACATGAGCTTCTTTGGGGCGTTTTCATTGGTATTCCTGAGTGTGGATTGGGGTTAATAAAGCGGTAACCCCGAGCCACACTCGGGAATACAGCGTACAGGCCTTACCTTGTCTGCGATCCCTGCTGTGTCCTCCGGCGGCTGCCGACTTCCGGGTTCCGTCCCTTGCGAGCGGCCGCGTTGCAGGGGGGCGGAGACGGCGGGATGAACGAAAAAACGTGCTAAAAAACTAGCAGAAAATATACGCGCAGGTGTGAACCCAGCCTTCGTGTACACATTACAAACTCTACTGCACTCATTGGTGATTTAAAACCACTGGTTTCATCAATGGAAATATTTAAACAGGAATGCTTTTCTGTTTAATTGAAAATAAATTCTTAGTAGAGCGGTTTAGATATTTAAAAATATAATCTACAACCATTTTGTGTTGGTTTCTAAAGCACTGAGGGCTGGTATAATCCAGTCCTGGTACCAGAAAAAAAAACGATGTATAATTGATTATCTCTCCCAGTCATGCTTTTAGGTAGGGATGTCCAGATACCAGTGCCGATACTTGGCATTTTCATGAAAACTACCAGGGTTGCAGCTGGGACCTGGTTCTGGCGCTCCACCACTGTCCTGAAATCATTATTCTGTAAACAAAAATGTATCAGTACTTGTATCTGTAAGTACTTGGGCAAGTATCAGAACTTGTACTTGGAAAAATTGTATTGGTGCATCCCTTTATATTTATTTTAAAAAATGCAATAAAATGGGGATGTACAAATCCCAGGAGCTCCGTATGCTCCTTAAAAATAACACCTGCCTATATTTTTCTAGTCTAGTCCTGGAACTGGAAAAGTATCTGTACTTGTACCGAGTACCTGCACTTGGTATCAGAAGATCCCTACTTTTAGGTCATTAGCAGTCAATGCAAACCATGTTGTGTCTGATCTTCCACAGTTGAAAACAATGATTTTTGCATATACGAGGATACCATAAAAATGACAAGGCTTTGTAATGCCTATTCCCTCAAACTGCATTGGGGATAATGTGTCAAGTTCAAATATACATGTATAATGTTTTTAGGGGACTTTGGTAAAGGACAGTTTGCAGTGTGGGGTCAAGACAGAATATTTTAGGGCAAACTTTGGAGAAGGAATATGGCAAGCGTAATGTGTAAAAGACACAGTGCTATATGTTCCCATTCTGCCGATCAATTGGATAAAGCTCTCAAAAAGTCAGTTTTGGGAAGACTTCCCTATAGGCTTTAATAGATCTTACTCTTGATGGAGCTAAAGGAAAACACAGACTGATTCCAGTCACAGAAAAGAATCAATAACGCAACCCACAAGGTCGCGGTGGCACACAGTATTATTATTATTTTGCTTTCCATGTCTCCTGACACATTCTGAGCAGAATTGCTTTGTAAAGTGAACTTATCACACACCTAATGCATCAGTATTCCTCTATGAGTACACAGTGCTTAGTTCACTAGTTCACAGCTGTGTCCCTCTTTTTATTTTGTTATATTAGGGAAATCTAAATTTGAGTTCAATAACTGTCTGATGGAACTCGACATTATCTGATTTACAAGCTGCATATCATATCAGGCATTTAATACTGGGGAATTAGGATTTAGCTTGTGACCCAGCGCAGCATTCACCAAACATCTTTTTCATTCATTAACATATTCCCTTTAAAGCTAGGAACACACGGGTGATTTTTAATAACACAAAACGTGATTTCATTGCTACACATGTGGAAAATGGTTCCCTATGGCATGAGGTAGTGATTAATTGGTAATGATCACACAATGTTCCCAATGTATGAAATCACTAATACATCCTACATTACATTGGTTCCACTACAATTACTACACTACTGTACTACACTTACTGACACAAAGAAAAAAGCAGGGAAGCTCTGTAACGTGCAGCAACCAGTTGTACACACTTTGGTAGTTAAAGGAGAACTATGGGGTGAGTGATTTACATCCCTATAGTTAGAGCCATTGAGTGATCTTTAAACTGTCACACGTCGGCTCTATTGATCGGGAAGTGAGCGAAAATGTAACGCCGCTCGTTCACTTTGATCATCTCACCCATCATCTCCCTGCAGAGAGTAGTGACTGACAGTCACCACTCCCCACGGGGATTCCCCCCTCCCCTCTCCGATCCTCCAAGCACTGACTGGAGGGACGGACAGTGGAGGGGGTGGGCACAGCTGGCTCTGCCTTGAGAGGCAGAGCCCGCTGTCAATCAGCCAGCTGGGTGGATCTGGACAGTATTGTCGGGATCCGTCCTGGCTCTGGCGCGGTCAACATATAGCGTGCAATAACCTGCTATATGCCGAGTTTTTGGTCACGGGAGGAAACAGTACATGTCCTCCCGTGATCCTGAGGAGAACTATGGGAAAAAAATAAACATTGCCGCATAGTTCTCCTTTAAGGACACCCTGTCACTATGCATTTCACCAAAATATATTATGCTTGCCGAGTGCCATCACGGTGGATGTAATGTCAGCAGCCCCAGCAGACTCAGAGCTGTCACGCAAGTGACAATCTATAGTATTCTCCTTCCCTTCTTCCCCCAGAGCTACAGATCAAGGTATGAGGATGGGCATTAGAGTTGGGTAAGCACACACAGTAATTAGACTCTCCCAGCAGAGGAAAGGGCTATGACGTACAAGGAGGGAGGGGACTGTTCTAGGAAATTGACACTTTCTGGAGTAGTAATTTTTTAGTAAGTAATTGATTTATATCTCTACACTTTACACACACATATACACATACAGTACATATCTATCTTAAAGCAAAAATTTAATCGTTTTATAACTTGTCTTTTATCTCTACAGCAAAGCCTTGTGGATAAAGTAGCGAGGCGGCAAAAGCCAGATATGAATATGTTGTTCCTTAATATCAAAGTGAGGCGGCTCCAATTGGTCAGCGATTCGCTTGATGAGGTATTACTTTTAAAAAACGTTATCCTTTGTTAGATAAACTGACAAAGGGTATATGACCTTAAATTATAATAATTGTAGACACTAAGGATAAAAAGTTCTGTGTGCCTTCATCAACCAGTCAGCTTTTTACTGGCTTAACTATTAATCAAAGAAAGCTGGGGGCTGACACAGGTCATAGAATATCATTGCAATATTTCCATAAACAAATTACATTAATATAGTAATTTAAAGAAGAAGAAACAAGATCATACTAAACAGGCTTCTACAATGAATAAGTGTGTGAAATAAAACATACTATACAATTAGAAACTACACTCTACAATAACATTGCCTATACTATAGTAACATAATTTAAACAACAACCAAAATATTGTTCAAACCACACTAATTAAAACAATGCGTTTTTGCTTGAGTGCTTGAAGCGTTTTCAGTTTAAATCAATGGAAAACATGGAACCGCTCAAAGAAAAGAAGACACATCACCTCCAAATAGCATTACTTTATTCAGCATGTGCATGAATCAGTCCATTAACACAGCGTGAATGCTTCACAGCATTAGCAATAAAAGGCTAAACTTTAATCACACAAAAGCCAGTCCTCTTATACTCCAGGGTCATAACATGGTACACACTGTAGCTCTGCTCGATGCATTTAGTCAATCAAAACTGTCAAAGCTATAGGGGATTTTATTATAGAGGTGCAGTTTCTAATTGCAGGGATGACGCAGCCTGGAGAGGATTGTCAGGAAAAGGCCATTCAAAACGTGGTTGGGACTTTCACAAGGAGTGGACTGAGGCTGGAGTCAGTGCATCAAGAGCCACCACACACAGACGGATCCTGGACATGGGCTTCAAATGTCGTATTCCTCTTGTCAAGCCACTCCTGAACAACAAACAACGTCAGAAGCGTCTTACCTGGGCTAAAGAAAAACAGACCTGGTCTGTTGCTCAGTGGTCCAAAGTCCTCTTTTCTGATGAGAGCAAATTTTGCATCTCATTTGGAAACCAAGGACCCAGAGTATGGAGGAAGAATGGAGAGGCACACACTGCAAGATGCTTGAAGTCCAGTGTGAAGTTTCCACAGTCTGTGTTGATTTGGGGAACCATGTCATCTGCTGGTGTTGGTCCACTGTGCTTCATTAAGTCCAGGGTCAACGCAGCAGTCTACCAGGAGATTTTGGAGCACTTCATGCTTCCTTCCGCAGACGAGCTCTATGGGGATGCTGACTTCATTTTCCAGCAGGACTTGGCACCTGCCCACACTGCCAAAAGCACCAAAACCTGGTTCAATGACCGTGGGATTACTGTGCTTGATTGGCCAGCAAACCCGCCTGACCTGAACCCCATAGAGAATCTATGGGGCATTGCCAAGAGAAAGATGAGAGACATGAGACCGAACAATGCAGAAGAGTGAAGGCCGCTATTGAAGCATCCTGGTCTTCCATAACACCTCAGCAGTGCCACAGGCTGATAGCTTCCATGCCACGCCGCATTGAGGCAGTAATTTCTGCAAAAGGGGCCCAAACCATGTACTGAGTGCATATGCATGCTTATACTTTTCAGAGGTCTGATATTCTTCTATGTACAATCCGTGTTTTATTGATTGCATGTAATGTTCTAATTTTCTGAGATTGTGAATTTGGGGTTTTCATGAGCTGTAAGCCATAATCAACCCAATTATGACAAATCACGGCTTGAACTATCTTGCTTTGCATGTAATGAGTCTATCTCATATATTAGTTTCACCTTTAAAGTTGTATTATTGAAATAAATGAACTTTTGCACGATATTCTAATTATTCGATATATATATACACACACACACACAAGTACTGATATTTGTTTTACTGAGCTAAGATGTTCTGTAAACTGATAGAAGTAACTTTTATCAAAACTGTTCATGTGTAACACTACTCTGTTTTCTCAGCTTACTAGAAAACGGGCCGACCTGAAGAAAAAGTTGAAAGTTACTTTTGTCGGTGAAGCTGGTCTTGACATGGGTGGCCTGACTAAGGAGTGGTTTCTCCTGCTGATCAGACAAATTTTCCATCCTGACTATGGTAAGTCAAGGACCACTCTTTAGTGCTCTAACAGGGTGCGGTGCTTTCAGATGATCATATCATACTGTCTGTATTTTGCAAAATGATTAATATTTTTTTTTTTTTTTTTAGGTATGTTTACCTTTCACAAAGACTCAAGCTTTCATTGGTTTAGCAGCTTTAAGTGTGATAACTATTCAGAGTTTCGTCTGGTTGGAACTGTATCCTTTACGTTTTATAAAAAATACATGATATACACAAGGCACTTTACCAGGCAATACACAGACATAGTTGGTAGTCTATCTAGTGCAAATTAGAATGTCTCTTATTTAGGGATTGTTCAACCCAAATGCAGACCAGATCTGCATGAGTTTCTGCACACGCAGTGCAGTGTGTTATACTGTGGTTTTTGCCGCGTTTCGGGCCGTTTTTGGTTAAAAAAAAAGTTGTAGTTTAGAATGGGCTTTCAGTGCGTTCCAGGGCGTTTGCATGCGTTTTTGTTGAGTTTGCATGCGTTCCAGAGAAGGTAAAATAGGGCGTGCTGCAGTGTTTTTACATACTCTAGAACTGAACGCTGCGGTGTGAACTAGAGCACAAAATACCATTAGAATACATTGGACGCAGTTTTGACGCGGTCTGCAACTTCTCTGCTCCTGGAACGTGCTTGGTGTGAACAAGCCCTTATCCAAGGATTTGTAGCAACTTTACACACACCTCAGGTGCAGGGAATGATGTTATGTTGGCACAGGGCTACTATTAAGCAGCACAGGTGGTGATGCTGTGTTGATAAATCTTCATTTCTGTTCTTCCTTTTTTTTTGTGTACCTTTTTTACTTTTGACACATGATATTGTAAATATTCTATATAATGATAATGCAGCGCTATAGAAAACAGTGGCCCAAAATATATATACCATACTACAACAGCAAATAAAAGAAAAGTGTCCATAAACAATATATATTGTATAAAGAGTCCCATGTAGAAATGTATAACACTGTGAAGTGATCCAATTATTATAGGCGTGTTCCAGTGCTTCACTCCACACATCCAAACGATCAATGAACAAATTTTCAGTGTAAAGCCGTGCTAAGTGTGGATACGGAAGCACGGGTGTGCACTGAAAGTTCGTTCATTGATCACTTAGATGCGTGGAGTGAAGCACTGAGGCACACCTATTACATATTTATATATGTAGTATGTTTTTTTGTATATTTTGAACCACTGTTTTCTATAGCACTGCACTATCATTATGTAAATTTTTTTTGTGTGTATTTTCACATTTAAGTGTCAGCAGTTAGTTAATTATTCACATTAGATTAGCGTGGAAACTTATAACAACATTGTATATATTGTATGTCCCAGAAATCACAGCATTTCAAAGTTCTCTGTGTATTTCTTTAATATATGTTCAGCAATTAGAATTACTTGCTTCTTGTTTAACCACGGTATTCTTTCCTATCTAATATAATATATATCTTATAGATTGTCCATCAATGCTGACAACAAAATCCAACAAATACGGTTGCTAAGCACCAGCCCCAAACATCTAATTTGTGCAGGGGATAAAGGTGTTGATAGAACCACCATGAACAGATAGGGATTTAAGTTTTAATGCCCCAGCCAATCAGTGCCTGACTAGATATCTTTAAGCCATATAAGTCATGGATGATTCATACAATGACTTACTTCTTTATAATTGGCCTGTGTGTGGGCACCTTAATACAAACTCTAACAAACTCCTTAGAGGAAAGTTCTGAGATGTCACTCATTGTTTCTTCTCCAGCCACTTACAATTTTTCCAACTCATATTTTCTCCTGGGAAATTATTTAATCTTTAGACAGATTTATTTTTAGCATAGTGAACCTTTGCTGTTTTTACTTTAATTTGGATTGTCCATCAAAGTTCAGCAAAGAGCAAGAAGTTCTACTTTATCAATGAGTAATACATTTTCACATACAAGTAACAATTTATGGCACAAACATGTCTACTCTCCTTCCAGTAATACAAGTGTTTATATGTTTAGATATACAGTAATGCACAGTATAAAACTAGGCACAAAATATCTTCCAATAAATAATTGGATTTTTACTTAACCTTGCAAGTTGATGGGACTGGCTGTGTACAACAGCATCACTCTAGATATTCGCTTTCCACCCTGCTGTTACAAGAAGCTGCTAAGTCCTGCTATAGTACCTTGCGATCAGAACATGCCAGTGGGCATTGCAGCTGTCACTCTGGATGACCTATATCAAATTATGCCGGTAAGTTTACCTTTCGCTTTCCTTCTTACACAAACAAGAGTTAGAACAATTGGTGCTGGTTTAATTAGTTAAGCTGTGTAAGTTTGGTGTAGGATCATATATGAGATGTATTCACAAGCACAGAGTGACCCTGGTTGATTTATGATTAGATGCTTGTGTAGAGAAGTCTAGATCCAGGCCACATTGGGGTCAGCTGACTAAATGTGGCCATACACTAATATTTTAAGCCACAGGAGCCGTTAACGGTTTGTTGTTTCATCAGGACTGTTTTCTCATAAAAATGTATATAGATCTTGTACACAAATATCACAAAGTTTGTTTATTTTCACCTGAAGTCATTCATTTTCCCTCAATTAATAACTCCTAGAACTTCACATTACGGGCTTGTTCACACCAAATGCAGACCAGATCTGCATGAGTTTCTGCACACGCAGGGCAGTGTGTTATGCCGTGTTTTTGATGCGTTCCGGGCCGTTTTTGGTATAAAAACATTTTTGAAATTTTTTTTGTTTGTTTTTTAGTTTAAAAAGGGCTTTCAGTGCATTCCAGAGCGTTTGCATGCGTTCCAAAGCAGGTAAAATAGGGCTTGCTGCAGTTTTTTTTACATGCTCTGGATCTACGCTGCGGTGTGAACTAGAGCCCAGAATACCATTGGAATACATTGGACGCAGTTTTGATCCGGTCTGTAACTGCTCTGCTCCTGGAACGCCCTTGTGAGCAAGCCCTTAATGCAATCAGAGACTAGAAGTATTTTAACATTAGCAAAAACTTTCTTGATTAGTTTTGGAAACATCAGATGTGGTGGTTGTCTCAGTGAGATTTTCCCCCATATTTCCCAGTCTGCAAGACACCCATCCCTTGGGCAGGAAATTAAGGGAAATCTGACTAGTGGGGGGCATAGACAATAATAATTCAAAAACCAGTGAGAGGTCATAAAATATATTTTTATTTGTATCTGAGATCTGTTGAAAAGACAGGAATTTAGAAGAATTCTCAGCAGGGACATGTCCAACGATACATACCTGATAGACAGTTCAAACCTTTTCTACTATTATATAAAAAAAAAAAATATTGACTGCACTCGGCCCTTAGGGCTTATTCGCGCATTTATTTTCATGCAGGAGTTATAATCCTTATTCTGTCTTGGATGTGTCTAATGTAGCTTAGAAGAAGAAAAATGTAAATATGATTGGTTGCTTTGGTTAACAAGATTTTTTTCTTTTAGCGCACACCTAAAGCATGTAACTCAGTGTACTCTTCATGCTGTGCCAATTAAAGAGACAAATATAGTGTTGCCAAGTTCTTGGATAGTAAAACAGGACTCCATTCACACTATTTACACTATTAAGTTGCTGCTGTAGTGGCACTAATTTAGAAAGACATCCTAAAGAATAAACATAAGGTTCTATTTATAAACAATTATTGGGAGTCTATTCACAAAGCTAGTCGAAAGATCAGCCGAAGCTTTGGCTGATCCTTCGGCTAGCTTCGGTTGCGGGTGCCCTTCGGTTCAGTCGAACCAAAGGGCTGCTGTACGTGCTATTCACTATAGCTCGTACAGCTCCTGAAGGCTGGCTAGTGGCTTAGCCGAGCGAAGACATATGCTTCGGCTCGACTGAGCCAAAGTGACCGCCGAAGTGGGGCGAACGGCCGGCCTAAGGCCAGCCGCTCGCCATGCAAATGACAGCTGGGCGGAGCTGCCTCCGACAGCTTAGTGAATAACCCTGTTACAGTCTTTTGCCCTGTGACTCTCTGAACATCCATTCTGTGTCAGTAGTGGCAAGGACAAACATTCTTAGTATATTTTATTTTCAGGTTGAATGTAACATTTGGAAAATATCTAGTGGCCATACCATTATGGCCACTAGATAGAGCTGAGTAGCATAGGTAATAAGAATTTATTTCCTACATTCCTCATCTCCATCTAGTGGCCATGATAAGGTATTTTCCGTACTTTACATTCGACCTGAGAAAACAAAATACTAAGCAAGTTTATTTTTTGCCTCTTTTTGCACAGAACAAATGCTCACAGAACAAATTGATTACAAATAGACTCCATGGTGCATCACAATGCACATGCAAAACATCTGTGTATTCTGCATTGCAGTATATTGATAGCTACCTAAACACAACACTGTGAATGCAGGTTAAGTTTGTACCTTAGACATGTTTTTGTACTGTATAACATTTGTTTGTTTTTAGGAATTGGCTCATGGACTAAATGAACTGCTAACATATGAGGGCAATGTGGAAGAGGATTTCTATTCAACATTTCAGGTCTGTTTTAAAAGATTAAGATAAAACAGGCAGTCCCCGAGTTACAAACAGCCGACTTACATAAGACCCCTACTTACAAACGGAGGCTATTACTATACAGCAGGGACCCCAGGCTGCAGCCAAAGTGTACCGCGCAGCATTTCAGTAGTTGTAATGCTACCACGCTCGTGCTGACGAGGAGTGCCATCCTTTTTGGGTCTGGTTCATAGTACTGTACGTACATTACAGGAAGTTGGCTCTTGTTGGGACATGCAGACGAGGGGTGCCCGCCTTTTCCTCCGGGTCACTGTGAGGTTTTTACTGCGGTCTGTATCCTCATTAGAAAGATTTAATCTCACTTCCTAGGAAAGGAAAATTCACTCCTGTAGGAGTTATCATGGGAAAAAGGTGTCTCCACTGAAGCTTTAATCACCAATCCTTTTTTCCACGACAACACAAAATTTTCAAAATGCAATTGTCTCAGGGACAGAAATTGGGGGTAAATCTTCTGAAGACGTGTATCTAAACCGCTGTTTTTAACCTTAGCGGTGAGAATTTTTTTTGCATGCTGGCTGGTGAGTGTGCTGGAAAACATTTTGCTGTTGTACTGTATAAAGCCTTTCCATGTGCACCTTGCTGTAAAGCTGGTAACAAATTGATGAGTGCGTTTTCCATTTGTTTTGCTATCTTCTGAATAGGAGCACACACAGCAAAACAAACGTTACAGGGGGTTAACCCTTCCTTATGCTATCCAAAACGAAAAAAACACATTTGGGCTGGAGTTACACTTAAAAAATGTACCTGTTCCAACTTGCATACAAATTCAACTTAAGAACAAACCTACAGTCCCTATCTTGTTCATAACCCTGGGACTGCCTGTATATGTATTTCAATCATCTTGAGATAAATTAAAAGTAGTATTAAACTCTCAAACGGTTTTTAATAATGAATCCAGATCAAACAAATATACATTGCTCAGCAAAGCATTGCTTTACATTTTTGCCCAAGCACTTACAAGCATCATGTTTCTGAACAGCTGCTTCTAAGTCTCCCTGCTCAGCTTCCCTAAACTTCCTCTCCAGTACAAAATCACAAGGGACAGAGCAGACTCCAGCAACTGTTCATGTACTAGTTTAGAGAAATGAGGAGAGGGGGCCAGGGTGGAGGAGAGTAGCTTGATTTGCTGTGTCTGGGTGTTTGTGGATACAGTTGGTGTACCCATCGCACTCAGAGCCGCCGCTCCAAAAATGGAGGGTGGGTGCAGCAGGTGGCTTCTGACAAAATATCAGTAAAGGATGGACACTGGCGCTCCAAAGCAAGTTCAGTACATGTTTATTAACATACTAGTTGCAAGTAGAACACTCTAAACAACGTTTCGAGGTCTCACAGGATCCCCTTCATCAGGCAAACAAGTGACACTTGTGACGACACAGCTTACTAGCACACACAAGGGTGACTGCATAGCACTCTGAGTGAGAATGGAGTCACTCTTTAAGGCTGGGTTCACACCTGGGCGTATCGAATATGCGTGTTTGTCGCGCGTTTCATGCCGCGCGTTTTTACTGCGATTCGCGGTTAAAAAACACGCGTTTCCGAGGGCTACCTGGCTGTATCCCAATGGATACGCGCGGCAAATACGCCCCCAAAGAAGCTCCTGTACTTCTTTCGGCGTAGGGCGTTTTGTAGCGCGTTCATACGGCCTGTAATACGCCCAGGTGTGAACCATACCCATAGGAAATAATGGGATTTCGGTGTTTGAGCGTTTTGCAGAGCATAGGAACGCACTACAAAACGCCCAGGTGTGAACCGGGTCTAAAGGAAGTCAGGACCAGTGCTCAGGGGACCAGCTGCTCCTGCAGGAAACTCAAACTTTTAAACATCAAAGAGCATCATCCATTGAAACTGATTTCATCAGCATTTGAAGTAGCTTAGAAACCTTTTGACTTGAATATCACTTTAATTGATTGACTATTATGCTTCAGTTATGCATCTTAAAATATCCATGTTTTATCATGCGGCAGCAATATATAAATTTCCTAACTGTATATGTTTGCTAATCATTTATATTTCCCATTCAATGTATCTGCAAGAAGATGTTGTTATATAAATAAATAACATTAGTAATAAATAGTCACTCATCTCTTGGGTATCAACTAACATTCTAGAATCTAGATGCAATGATATGTTTTGGTAGATTTATAACATGAAATTATTTGCAAATTATTATTTTTTACAGGTCTTTCAAGAAGAGTTTGGAGTGATTAAATCATACAGTCTTAAACCTGGTGGAGATAAAATCCCTGTTACCAATCAGAATAGAAAAGGTATAGATATGTATTAAGAATTTATTAGTTTGTGCCTGACAAAATAATAGCAGAATTGTAACGTTTACAATAGGTTTTGTTTTATCTTTACAGAATATGTCCAGCTTTATGTGGACTTTCTGCTTAATAAATCCATCTACAAGCAGTTTTCTGCCTTCTATTATGGTTTCCACAGTGTGTGTTCCTCTAATGCATTGATGGTAAGCAAGACCAGATAAATAGGTTTGGAAATGTTGCAACAGTTAAAGATGTTATCACCATGAGATATCAGTTCAATATTCACAGAAGAAAACATTGCAAAATGGATAGTGCATTAGTTATGAAAAATATTTGACATTATGATTTATTTGTGTCAGAATTCAGACCAATTCCTTTAGTTTCAGCTTTCCCAGAGATGTACAAGACTTACTTTCTTGGGACATAAAACTTTAAGGCCTCATTTAATAAACAGTCCCCATTATAAAGCTCCAATTCTCAGTGATGGTAAACCATTGCGAACAATAAGGTTTTGGTACTAGTCTGAGTTTGTGAGTGAATTTGGACTGGTTGCTATGAGCTACTGCACCTAAATAATCACTCAAGAATGGCTTAGGGGGATTGTAGTCATATTAGTGCACTTGCAACAACACAGCTAAATACAGTTCGTGATACTATATTTGTACTAAAAGTTAATATTTTAGGACAAGCTTTCGGGGACCTACTCCTGTCTTTCTCCCCTCTGAATCTAGAGGTTCCTTAATTCCATTACTGTATGTGTGTGTGTGTGTTTGTGGGAAGACTTATCTTAAGAATGGAGTAGATGCCAAAAGGCTTGTCCTGAAAAAAAAAATTGTTTGTGCACATAAAAAGCTTTACAGATAATACTCCACAATACTCAAGAATAGCAAATCTTTGATGTATCTGAACAAAATCCACTGGGCTGATTTCAATAATGCAGCAAGGAAGCAAAGGTCGTTAGTAGAGCATATGGACTAGTTAGCCAGATGCTTTTCCATGGCTGCTTGCTATGCTCAGGGCTGGGTTTATTCCTGAAAGTTAGAAGTTGGATTTGAGCTGTCATTTTTCTTCATCATATTGGATCACCCTTTAAATGTTTATCAAATAATAGACAAGGTATTGCCCAAAGAACCACATTTGCATATTTAACAGTCTAATATAAGTTAAAACCTAAAGCCTTTCAATAGAGTTCCCATTTAAACTTTATATAACTTATAAAGGCAGGGATCGGTTAGCTAGGTCTTTTAACGATATACTTTTCCCTCTAGTTACTTCGTCCAGAAGAAGTGGAGATCCTTGTTTGTGGAAGCCCTGAACTAGATTTGCATGCACTCCAGAAAAATGCTCAATATGATGGATACCAGAAAACAGATCTTACAATCAGGTCAGCTTGGTTTATTCACTTAAACGTTTGAAAATTATTTGAGAAGATGACATTAAATGGATTGAAAAAGACAGGAGCTGCCACTGCTGGGTTTTTTTTTAAGTTGCAGGCTCCATGGTTGTCACTTTTATACTTACTTCACTATGTAGTATCAAACTGACCCAGACACTAGGCTGTCCTGGCAGAAATTACTTTATAACATATTACATCATGTCACTGCAGGACTGTTTTAAAGGATAAGTAAACTTTCAAACAAAGTTTTTCTTATCCTTTTTTCCACAAATCTTTCTCACTAACCCAGCTTCCCGCAGCTGCGGTCCACAGCATTGTTTACCTCCTGCCAGCCTGGATCTTCCTACCACTGTCCACATGTTTGTAGTAGCTCTCTATAGACTTCTGTTGAGGCTCTCTCCCAAGACAGGGAATGTTGAGGAGAGAAACTAATTAGACACTTAAAGTTCTGGGGGCTTAAAAATGGCACTTACATTACACTTGTTTATCTCGGCACTGGTTTAGAATGGTGCCTGAACCAGCAACAGCACTAAGCCCAGGAGCTACATTTATCAGTTTCTGGACTTGTAATCCTGCTGCAGAGTGCTCCTGTTTCCATACAGGGTGTTTTAATTGTGTTCTATTTTTGTAAGCTGTATTTATACAAGAATAAATTGTATACCGTATATACTCGAGTATAAGCCGAGTTTCTATAGAATGCACTGAACAATAGATTTACAATTATCCTCTGCTAATATGAATGGGTTAAATGATCCGTAGTACATGATATGTAGCCCTGTACCCCCTTTTCCACTTACAGAGCTAGGTTATTGTTTTTCTTTGAAATAAATATTCATGTAATTTTATTGGTATCTATCTTCATTTTGTACATTTACCAGTAGCTGCCTCATTTCCCACCCCAGGCTTATACTCGAGTCAATATTTTTTCCCAGTTCTTTGTGGTAAAATTAGGTACCTCGGCTTATATTCGGGTCGGCTTATACTTGAGTATATACGGTATATCTTAAATTTTCGGGCTGGTGGCAATTTTCTTTAGATTGGGTCACTCAATATGAAACAAAAAAATGTATAATAGAATTATAGAAATGTTGTGGTCCTAACGTGTTTGTCGTCTCGCAGACATTTCTGGGATGTCGTTTTGGGTTTTCCTCTTGACCTTCAAAAGAAACTGCTTCACTTTACAACGGGAAGTGACCGAGTGCCAGTGGGAGGGATGGCAGACTTGAATTTCAAGATTTCAAAGAGTGAAACATCAACTAACTGGTAATCATGCATACTGTACAAGGAGTTAGGGCTAGTGTATGCAGGAATTCAATATATAGATGCCTACAACTATGCTTTTAATTTTAATATGCATGTGGGAGCCCTTTCCTTGCTTATCAATATTCCCACACTCACTTTGACATGTTTATGATTCATGCACCACCTTGCTCTCTGGTCTACAGGTGTCCCAATACCATTCCTCTTCTCTACTTAACCCTTGCAGTGTGACTACCCCCACACTACAACGATTAAGTGCTTATTTTTATCTAGTGTCTAAAATAACAAAGATATAATCACCCGAACCTCGGTCCAACCAGACCAGTCCTTGCAGCCTATTTCCCCCACCCCGGCAGTGGAATGTCACTCGGCATCCTCACAACTAACACTGTATTAGATGAACTGGCGTTTTGACTTACTGGTCATTAGACCGCCTGAGCGGAGGGAGAGAGAGGCTGCAGGGTCCAGTCTAGCAATCAGATGGGACCAAGGTTCAGATGAGTATAGCTTTGTTATTTTAGACCCTAGCCCAAATGAGTACTTAACCCTTGCAATGGGGCTACCCCTACTTTGCCCTCTACTCCACCAGTCTAATGACCCTTGAGTCAACACGTCTAATACAGTTTTATTCTGCTTGGAGTTCTTCTTTAAGCAAATCGTTTGGACCATGGTTTCTTCCCTCATAGATTTCTGCTCCTGGCTGTGTGCTCACCTTCTGACTGGCAGGTTCAGGGACTGATCCTCTGTACCTTTACTGTGCATGGCACACTCCCCCACTGTTCTGCATGCAGCTTCACTGCCTATTTTCCAGGACAGCTTCACAGCACATTAACCTTTCTTTTCCTTGTGCAGCTCAATGCTATTCTTTCTTTACATTCATTGCACCTTATGCTTGTATCTTTTCTGTGACTATAGAAAGAAGTACATGCTCTGTTGTTCCTGTGTATTTGGTTCCATTCTTCTGTGGCCTCAACTGCTTCCCCCAGTCACCTGCTTACTGTGGTCAGGTCTCCTTCTCAACATAATAAAAAAAATTGGACAAAGAGTTCAGTGCTGCACATTTGGCCAGTCTAATGTATTTTATAACAGTCAGAGAGATGCCTACACTGACATCAGGGTCAATAGGGACTATTTACCTACCATTATGTTCTTTAACTGTGGAATGCAACCAGCCGCTCACAGAAAACAAACACAGGGAAGGATACAGATTCCTTGTGGACATAAAAAAGGAACTCAATTCCATAGAAAATAAATTATTCCACTACATAAAATATTTATATTACTTAACATCTTGCAACTAGCTGGTATAAAATGTCGTAATGTGTCTGTCCTTTCCAGGTTGCCAGTGGCACACACGTGCTTTAACCAGCTGTGTTTACCCACCTACAAAACAAAGAAGGAATTAAAGCAGAAACTGACAATTGCCATTTCCAATGCGGAAGGTTTTGGGCTGCAGTGAAGAAATACAGAGGCCTTTACAGACTTCAGCCTTTTATTTTCACATTTCTAGAATGTTTTATTTGTGCAACGAGTGCAGCAGTGCTGATAACTTATTGCTTTTAGAGAACGTGCAACGGATGCCTGACTTCAGAGGTACAAGGAGGAAACTTTGTAATTAGTAGAGTCTATTAGTATCAGCACTTCCATCTACTGTGTTTCTAAATGATACTGTTGTGCTGGAAAGACCGTTAGAATGTCTATTACCCATCATGGAACCAACGCAATAGACTCACTTCTGCAGATTACCCAGAGCTTGGGATCAATTCTGGTCAGCAGATTTTGCCAGCAAACTACTTTATAATTCCACTATTGGTTTACGTTGCTTATTAATATAACAAGAGGTAGATATATTTATAAAGAACTGCAAAAGTAATGGACAGTTTTTCTATTTTCTACTGTAAATAGGAAAGTATTGAAATTGTGTGAGCTTTATGAACTGTAATTATTGTGTATATATTTATGGTTTCTTTAAAAATGGTTACATGTTATGCTATTGCTATAGAGAAGCAGAGCTGTATACCTATACTCTTCATTATTTCTGCATTTTTTAAATTCTATTTACACACTTATGTTTGTGGGATCTACCAACATGCAGTCACCTTAGCAAGTCAACAGACAGCTTTGTTGTCCTGTCACATTGGCAATGTATTGCCCATGTGATCATACCAAAGGGAAATCACTAGCTACATGCCATTAAAAATGTTCGGTAGTGCTTATAAAATTGTCAGATATGGGAGCAGGAACTCCAATCTGGCCTTAGCCTTAAATAAATATTTATCTAATCTGCTAAGTTAGTTGTAGGTGGAGAGCAAGTAATGAACCAGATATGCAGTTTAAGGTACCCCAGCCTTTTTGTGGAAAAGCTCTATAACGTTCTGCTGGCAGTTTCTGCCCTTCATTGATTGATTTAGTGCCAATATGTTGTAAGATACACAATTCTGAGAAGTGCATGTATATTTGAGCACTGAGAAAGGGACATTTGAAGGGAACCTCACAGGTGAGAAAACTGATAGCGGAGGTGTAAAGGGAAGACAAATCTCAGATCTCCAACTGGCCCGACAGAAATGGCCCAGTTTGAATGTTTTTTTGCACGTAGTAATGTTTGTCACATGTTATGTGACAAACATTTTCCCAGTTATCTGGTTTTGAGGAATGATGCAGTAAATTGCATAAAGCCCAGCTCCAGCCAAAACTCTTGTCTTTCTCATCCATTGAGGGGCACAGAAATTAAGGAATTAAAAAGTCAGGTTATATTGCCACCTGCAAGAAGTTGGGACACTGGCAAACAAAGAACAGTTAAGACAGCGCACGTATAGTAAGTCCAGAGGCCTTTGTGGGATCTGATCATTAGAAGATAGGTCCTCTTTCTATGGCCCAATTTGTGCTCTCCTGAGAAGTCTTAAATTCCTTCCTCTTTCCTCTTCTCTGTCAGGTGAATATTGCTAGTAGTAGTACTAAGGCGACTTCCTCTCACAGGGGTAGATTGGATTCCTAGAATCATATTCAGTAACTGGTTAGGCAGGTTTGCAGTGTGGCTATCACACCCCACCACTCATCCATCTGATTCTGATGTTCTTCTACTCCAGTTTGGGTTTCTGTATATCCTCATCCCTGCTTACCCTTTTATGCAGGTAATAATCACCCTACTACCCTCTTCAAATTAATTCATGGTTACTACAATTAATTTGTTTGTTCAAGGTAGTACAAAAATCTTTTTTTTTGTTTTGGACACAGAAAAGGGATAGAGCCTCTCATTTTTTTTATTAGCTGTCTTTGTCCCCATTGGGCAAATATCTCCTAATTTTTCAATGGTGACACCAGTAAAATGGGGAAGGGTTAGATTTAGGGTTGCACCGATAACGATACTAGTACCGTACTGTTTGGCCGGGAAGCTGGCTTCCCAGCCAATAAGCATGGAGCCGGCCAAACAGCATGGAGCAGGCTTGCTGGGCAATCAGGAAGGTAATTACCCGCCTCCCAGCTTCCTGATTGGACGGAAAGCCAGCAACCATGCTGATTGGCTGGGAAGTCGGCTTCTCACAAAAATCAGCATTGATGCGGCCAATCAGCATCAAGCCAGCCAAACAGCATGGAGGCAGCTTCCTGGGCAATAAAGAAGCCAGGAGGCAAGTAATGACACGCCGCCCGCCTTCCTGATTGCCCGGTAAGCCGGCTCTAAGCTAGCAGAAGTACCGGTGCAACCTTAGTTAGAAGGTTTGTCAGTTAATCATTGCTATACCTTCATGTCCCTGTGACAACCACTTTCCAACCAACTTTTGACAACCAATTTCTTGTCTTGCGGTCATAGGGAAATGCATTTACAAAAAACGTTTTGGCTGTAGGAATTGTGTTTTAAATGTTTTAATAACTAAGCTTCTAGAAAAACAAGACAAACTTCAGCTTCCTGTTATTTAAAACAGAATAGTGTGCTTTTTATTATGAAACTGCTGTCTGCACAAGTCTTAAGGAGGCCCAATACTATTCCTCTTGCTATCCCATCTAACAGTTCTTGTGTAAGCTCAAGCCAATTGAAAAATGTAATTTTATCCAGGCAGGTTAACCACTGTAATTATTACACAGAGTATCACAGCCACTATCTAGGGGTTGCTGGAGAGCTGTGACATGAGACAGGGTAAAATAAAGAGCTTACAACACCATCTGTGTACAAGTGCTGCTAGATGGAATAGCAAGAGGATTGGCATGGGTCACTTGAAGACTACTCTACTGAGGGCATGATTCTTAAAAAGATAGCACAATAGCAAGTGCAAGTCTGTATAAACGTAATGGTACCATTTATAGCAACCTTCGTTCTCTGTGCGGGCTATATTCAAAGAGGACTGTAAATTCTACAGACATGTTAAAGAAGAAATTGAGTAGGGTAGGCACAAAACAGGCAACCAGTGTTTTAGTTTGTCTCTTTTTTGTGACCAAAAACTTGAGAAAAATGGGCATAAGAATGGTTATTTTAGCTGGCAATAGATACCAACATTCCATTTTATAACTGGTAATTCCAGGACTTTCTGTTATGAAAGATAAGTGGTAAATTAAAACAACCAGGCTACACAGTCTGAATTCTTGACAGCACTCCTATGGAAAACAGTTGAGATGCCCCAAAAAAGGACTCCCAGGTTGAAGGGTTTACCAGTTTACTACTGGAAATTGAAAGGATGTACACTAAGATAATAATGGAAGGGAAAAAAAATGATGTGCCTCAATATGCTCCAGTTGGCAATATTCAGTAGGTTATGTTTGTAAATGGCACCTACATTGTACCTTGATTTAAAACCTGCTATAATGTAAATATTAATCAGAATATAGCAATATACAAAGCAACACTCTAATGGGTTTGTCTAATAACAGTGCAATGACAGACAGCAGCCGCAGATTTAATTCAAGTCTGTTGATTGGATACAATGGGCTGTGGACCTATGGTACACCATCAATATCAAAGTAGCACGTTTCTACAGACCTAAATGCGGTTAGAATATTTAATGCAGGAATCTTTTGTCTTGTTTACCTTTTTTATAAGTAATATATATATCCATGTCCATGAAAGATTTATTTTTGCAGAGGAAGTTTGCGACTTTGAGAGAAGTGTGTCTCTCTAAAATGGTTTTCTGTGTTGAGATAACTTTAAAAAAAATGTGGAGTTGTAGTGTCGATTTCAGTAGAGTATATTACCAGTTTTTGATACTGAAGGAAAGTTTACTTTGTCAAATAAATGAGATGCTTGACTGACGATTTGCAATAATGACTTTGACCACATTCGAATGTTACTATTTGTTGTCATAAAATAACATTACAAAGATCATTTATTAATGTTTATTTAATAAATTACTTAATGTAGTTTTCTATGGACTATGACAAAAGCAAGATAACAGGAAAGTGTTATAAGCTTACAAAATTGTCAGACATATACAGGCAAAACGATGTAAATGTTTTATTCGGATGACGTTTAGAATTCTTTTTGCACTTATAGTAGCGTAGATGTAAAATGTGTATTACAAAGCTTGTATCTTCTGAGTTGTCTGTCATGACCACAATTGTTCTGCCACTTGCATGTTTTCCAGTATTGTATACCATATCTCATGTTCAGTAACCACACGTTAACGTATTGAAAAAAATGTTTTATCATTGTTCTCTTAGCATGGTGAGCTAGGATTCACTTTGCAATATCTTGCTTTTCTTGTTTGTTCAAAAGCATCTGTAAGTGCTTACTTTAAGTGCTGGGCAATACATTAGCAATTCTTGGCCTTTTTCTTTTCTAGATGTATTTGTAATGAACAAATGCCATGTTCCATAACTCATCATCCAGATGCATATTTAGTGATTTTACATTAAGCCTAAAGGCTGATTTCTGCTTGTTCTGATTTATGAAACGTTGTTACTTTTTCGACATCTCAAATCTCGACACACAGAAGAGGGCTCCTGTGCAGACATTTTAGTAGGATATCTTCTTTAGTGTCTTGCAATGACCTGGTAAAGGATCCTATATTTCTCCTGGTCCCTGTACAGGTACACAGCAATCCTGGCCCTGCCCTAACATAGATGTTGGGGTATTTTACAGAAGCCAACAAGAAAATAATCCAAAACTATTATGATAAATAGGGATGCACCGATACTTTGAGTACCAGTGCAGATACTTGGCATTTTCATGAGAACTACCAGGGTTGCAGCGGTTGCAGCTGGGACCTGCCTCTGGCACTCCACCACTGTCCTGAAATCATTAGTCTGTATTGTTTTAGAAAAACTGTCACATGACAATAAACAAAAATGTACCAGTACTTGGACTTGTAAGTACTTGGGCAAGTATCAGTACTTGTACTTGCAAAACTGGTATGGGTGCATTCCTTTATTTATAAAAAGGAAATCATACAATAAAACAGAGAGAGATGTACAAATCCCAGGAGCTCCGTGTGCTCCTTACAAATGACAGCCGCCTCCTAACTTTTACATTTTTCTCTAGTCTAGTATTGGAGCTGGAAAAGTATCCGTACTTGTACTGAGTACGGTACTCGGTATCGGTGCATCCCTAATCATAAATGCATAATTTAAATTAAAATCTAGTCTACCACTACATGGCCTTGTAGGCCTCACT